TGACTCCAACAAATGACGAATCCAAGATCTCCAGGCTGAACAGTGGACTGCTTACTCGCAGACAGTTGTAGGCAGCACAACAGAATCCCAATCCACAGAAGAATGTCTCTCTTCCCAGGATGTCCCTGGATATCCTGGAAGCAGGCCACACCCCTAGGGAAACTCACCTTGAACAGATTGGCCACTCAGAACACAGTCATCCAATCCCATCAATGGGAACAACCACACAGAACTGGGGTCCAGCCAAGTTGACACACAGCTCCAACTATCACAGTAGTATTAACTGGTCTTCGTTGTAGGCATATGGATATTATCCTATCACTGACAGCACTGTACTTCAGGATAGATCTTGAAACATTCTTTGTGATGACGAATGCCATGCCATTCTTCAATTTGTCATTCCCAGCATGGTAGATCATATGATCGTCTGATTCAAAATGGCCAAGACCAGTCCATTTCAGCTCACTAATGCCTAGAACATCGATCTTTATGTGTTCCATTTCATTTTTGACAACTTCGAATTTTCCTAGATTTATAATTTGTACATTCCATGTTCTGAATAGTAATGCATATTTGCAGCTGCTTCTTCTCATCTTGACACACATCACATCAGCAAATGGGAATCCTGAAAGGTTTACTCTATCCACATTATTCAAGCTGGCTCTACTCTGAGGAGGCAGCTCTTCTCCAGCTGTATTTTGAGTGCCTTCCAATCTGAGGGGCCATTAAGTTTTACAGTAATATATCAGACAGTGTTTCACAAGGTTTTCACTGGCCAGTTGTTTGAGAAGTGGATGGCCTCTTCCTTCTTCCAAGTCTTAGTTTGGAAGCTCGCTGAAAGCTTCTCACTATGGGTAACCCTTCTGGCATTTGAAATACCAGTAACATAGCCTCTTGACTCACAGCAACACTCAAGCCACCATAGCACAGCAAACTGACAAGCAAGTTTGTCTCCCTTAGCTGTTCCAAACTGCTCTGCACATTTCCTGGTCTCCCCTGCCCTCTTGCTCACCCAGCCTGCCTCCAGGGCACAAATACCTGCCTTCTGCTTGTCCCGGAAGCTTCTACTATGGGGATAGCAAAAGAGGAAAACCGAAAACTTCCTCAGCTTGCACAGTTAAAATATCAATGCCACTGAAAATTAGCACCTAAAAAACTTTCATACCATTGAGAGGCTGTGAATAGTCTGGAGTACTATGAGTTAGTCATAGTTGAATTTGAATCTTCACTCCACTTACCCAGCCATGTGTGAACTGAGAATTCTCTTCTGTATCTTGCAGTTTTGTTAGCATGTGCCTAGTACAGTGCCTGGGTATAGTTAGAACATATGGAATCTTACTTTTCCAGCATCTTTTTAAAGAAGTTAAATTGAGTTTGAGGGTTTTAAAAAGCTTACCTAAGAAAACTAAATAGATTCATCTCTCTCTAACTTGTTCTCCTTTTTAACACTAAGAAAGATCATTTTCTTTTTAGATGCTATCTTTTAAGCATGACTTGATGCTTCCTAAGTAGAGCAAGGAGCAGTAAATTAAGGAGGAAGTCCTGTGCAAGTCCCCTAACCTGTCAGAGGGAGTCAGGAAAGCAGCACTGGTCTGTCCACCCCTCAGGGTTGTGTGGAGGCCCTTCGAGATTATGTGGGAAAAGTGCTATGTAACCCTGCTTTGTTGTTGTTACTTGCTGTCAGATCACTTCTGACTCATGGCGACCTCACATGTGCAGAGTAGAACCACTCCATGGGGTTTTAACACTAGTGCCATATAAATATGGGGTGTTGCTATGCCTGAAGCATCTAAAATTACCTTATGGTGGAACTGAATCTAAAGTGTGACAAGGGTCTCATGCTAGGAAGCTGTCTTGAAAAGCGGCTCCTATTTTAGTGGTCAAAACCCTCCTAATACAGGGATAAAGCTCAGAAGGCAGGAAGGGTTAGGAAAGAAGGACAAATGGAAACGGTAAGCACGGGGAGGAAGTGAGAAGAGTGCTGTTACATTGTGGGGATTGCAGTCAATGTCACAAAACAAAATGCGTATGAATTGTTGAGTGGAAAACCAGTTTGCTCTGTAAACTTTCATCCAAATCACAATTTAAAAAAAAAAAAAGCACCTTATAACCAAATAATCCTGGGATTACAAAGAGCTGTCGGTTAAAAATTTAGCTCAGGAGTACTGGAGTTGTAGAATTTTTGTGGTAAAAATGCCTTTGCTTAATTTTTTTTTCCTTTCAAACAGACCGTGTATGCTTTACCAACCATTGCATTCGCATTTGTCTGCCACCCCTCCGTCCTGCCAATTTACAGTGAGCTGAAAGAGTAAGATATTTGTTTAATTTTCATATCTTAATCATTTTACATCCGCTCATTAACAGGCACAAATAGTATTAAAATAAACAGGCCAGTAGAATGAGCTCTAGGGATCCATCACTTACTAACATGTGCCATGGGCTGCACTTTAAAAAAAGCAAGAAAAATCAGACACCCACTCTGTTATTTGGCCATAAACATAAAAAGTGGCCAACTTTGTGGACTTTCTTTTGGTTGTAAACTTTGCAAATACTTTACTTAGGTAGGTTCAAGTATTTGTGTTGTTTTACATTATTTATGCTTATTTTGCAAGTAGATAATAATAGTCTTCAGATTTGTCTGTAAGCCTCTAGATACATTTGTGTGCTTTGTATGTTGGCTTGGATGGACAAGGCTGGCAAATCAGGCAGAAAGAAATTGATGGTAAGACCATGAACTATAAAAAAAGAATATTGTTGTGTTTTTGGTCCTAAACTAGTAAGATGATTCTGTGGATTTTTGATTGCTGTTCTAGAGAAAACTAAAGATCTGCTCACAAATTTCCTCTTTTTATAGCCTCCAGTAGTCAGACTTCAATTATCAGATTTGCTGTATAAAAATAATCATCATGTAGGTGAACAAGCTAAACAATTAGGTATGTCTAAATGGAGAGTGTATCCAAGATCATATATAGGGTTGGCAGACAATGGGCCT